AGCCTCGCGCATGCTTTTTGCTCGCATATCGCTCGATATCGGAATTATTCGATGAATGTCCTCCCGTCCTTTTATCCTTCTCCCCACATTATGCGCGAAATATATAATAACATATTATCGGCGATCATTACTATAAGTGGAGATACATACACACAAACGTCATTTTTATTTTCGAGATCAATAGTGTAGTGTTTCACATTGGATATAGTTAATGATTTAATAATTGATATAGGAGGAATATACGGCATTACGAGAATTGTCTATTATGTATTTGGATCGCTTGGGAAATTGTGTATGATATATGTATGATTAGGAAATTATAAAATAAATACTAGTACAAATATGACGTAACACAAATATTAAAGTACAAATATAAATATTATTAAAATACAATAAAATTCGATTATCAAATTTAGATTAACTCTGTTTGGGAAGAGAAAGTAAATATCATGAAAGAAGAGAGAGATTATGATACGTAATTGAAATAAATATATGTAATTCTGATTTTTTTTATTAAAATATGGCAAATCATTAATCCTTAGTTTTTTTCAAGGAGAAATTAAAAATTGTTCATCAAATACAAATCAATACAAAATTGAGAAAATTTCTACAAAATAGCAATATCTAATTTATTTAAATTTTTGTAAGAAAAGCAAGTAATATATAAATCTAATTATAAAATACTAATTATATTGAGATAAACAACGATATAAGCAAGTAGTATCCATGTCTTGCAACTCTCATAGATGCTCTATTTCCTGACCTTTACAGATTAATACAAGTAATCAGAATTTAAAAGCGAGAATTCCACTTTTCGCAATTCCGTCGAGCTCTCTCTCCTCTCTCTCTCTCCCTCTCTCTCTCTCTCTCTCTCGCTCTCTTCCTCTTTATATGTCGTTGCCAGTCGACTCTATTAAAATTTCCAGCTAGTGCTTCGGCCAATGTCACACAAAGCTAGAATGTTATCTCCCTCAAACGTCATATTTCCACTTATATCTTCAGCACGTCTTTCACGAACATGCTCGTTATAAAGAGGTTGTCAACGTGAGCTCAGCCGTGTATCGTTGCCTCGTGGCACATATATTTCACGCGACAAACGGAGAGGAAATTACTGTGCACGCAACCGAAATAGCTAACAATAAGATAACATCTCAACTCGCGAACACGCGTCGAGAGAATATTTTTTCAACGTTCCACGAGAGTCGCGCGCGTGTCGCGCGGAAAATCGCTCGGAAAGAGAGTCGACTGTATCACGGCCGCTTTACCGATTCTTTTTGCGAAGGAGGTCGGGCAAATCGTGAATGCCGAAAGAACGATCGCGATCGGACGTAGTCAATTTTCCGCGCTGCTGCGTCGAAAGCGGTTCGTCGATCTGCGACAACCGTAAGAAACGGCGAACAATTTCGGCGTGCAATGAGGGGAATGTTTACCGTTCAAACGAGATTTTTGCACGCTCGTTAAACAACATATCTACTTTAAGTAAATATTTCTCTCTTTGTTGAATTGTACGTTTTGAAGAAAAAAATTTAAATTAAACAAAATTTTAAACTAAAAAAGTTTTTAATTAAAAATTTTCAACTAAAGAATTCCCTCTGTCTTTTTGGAAGAATTAAGAATTTTGTGAGATACACATATTTGTACATTCACGTAAATGAGCTGTAATTAGTTGCAAAATTAATGAGTCTCAAAAATTCCTGTTTTATCTTCGTATATGGACGACAATTATCTCTAAATATTCATCTAACAGTATAATTTGCTTAATTATAAATGCGCCTAATTATATCCTACGTCTACGTGAACAATTATGTCTTTGAAACAATGGAATATCGAGATAAATCATATTCACGCTTGCTTAAAGTATGTATGTTGAGGTACGTCCGGAACAGAAAGCAATTTCCCTATTAATTGTTGAATTCAAATTAGTTCTCATAAAGGAGCTAATTATAGACATCGTTAAACTGATTTAGCGCGGATGAAATTCTTCCTGGTTTGTTCCGACTTGGCGTCAATAAATGAGAATTCTTCAGAGACGCGAGAGAGCTCCCGCTTCTTCCGCAACGTCAAGTTCGACTGGACGACTAATTACCGAGAGACGAATCTGGTGGGCGAATCGCTACCGGATTCTTCTTCCTTCCGCGAACTTTTTTTTTTGCTATTTTCATCTCTATTTATGAACGACTATGAAAGAAAGAGAGCATTCGTTTTTCTATAAACCGTACCGTTATGTCTCTTCGAGATGCGATTAGTGAATAAAATCGCGAGCAGATTCTGTCGAGTGGAAAAAAGAAAAGTGGCAATATATCGCGCAAAACAACTATGCGTGTAATCGATTGAAAAAAAACTCAGGTTCTATTCTCGAAATAATTTAAATATTCGTAGTTTCTCAAACGGCATATTATCACAAAGGGAGCTGTGGTTGAATAAATATTTATTCGCGTTTTGCATTATAAATATATAAAATTTATGGATATAAGGAGAAGAAGTCTCTTGAACTTACTCGCGGAAATAATCTTGCTGAATATGTATCAACTATCTCTTGTCCGTGTATGTTCATCATCCGTTTAATAATTCAACAGAAATCTGGCGCGTAAATAGAAACGTTAGAGTCAAAAGAAGAGAGAGAAAGAATATGAAGAAAGTAATAGAAGCTGGATACAGAAGAGTATAGCGTGAAAAAATAATTAACATCTCGAATTGAAGTTTTTCGACATTTTTTTTCGGAACGAGAATATATAAAATTAAAGGGGCCACAAAGCAAATTTTTACATAAATCATTACACACATATATGTACGCGCATATTATGTGTGTTATATAAAACTTGCGATATAGCGAGAGTGATACATCATACGGACAAGTTATGAGAGCGCATTTGCCTTCCAGAGAAACATTACTTTTTCCTGTTCGATAACGCCTGTTATCAGGTATACCATTACGTGCAACCGAGAAGGTTTTCATTACATCAATTTTGAGGTCATGCAAATAGTGCAACCGACGCGCGCAAATCTCGGATATTTATGTCCAAAATGCAGATTGACTTCCGCGAATGCTAACGTTCTGACTTTCATTTATAATATTATTATAGTTTTTTTCGTCGTAAAAAAATATTTAAATAATAGAGAAACGAGGATTTTCTGTTCGAAAAATTCTCTCTCTCTTTTTTTTTAACTTTTCTTAAGTCTCTGTACTAAGACAATTATTTTAATTTGTCAATAAAAAATGACTTTACACGACGGCGCATAAAATCCGAGTTTCGCCATCAGCGCGATGTTCTTCACTAAGGAATTAAGCTGTGAAACGTGTATATTTCGCATATATTTCATACGAAGGAGATTAGCCTCGGAAAAGAAACTATGTTGCATTTAACTGTCAGCACGCGAACCCGATTTACATGGGGCGTAATTATGCGCGATCGACAAAATAGAGAGAGTAAATCATATTACGCAAGTTGGCAGTTGCCGTAACGCGATTTGATACACACGCGGAAATGCTAATTGAATTTCTCGATTAGAATATCCCCGTAATAATCCGTAATATCTGCGGGAAAGTAAAATTCGATTAACGCAATTTCGATGTAAGCGACGGACCACCGCGGGATGTATGTATTTATGCGTGTCGCCTGCAATGTATATATCGCTATTAGTATCATCGAATTAATCTCTTTTGTTCAATTAATCAGGCATTTAAAAAAATTAAATAAAAATATATGCAGCCATCCATACGTCTCTGTATACGTATTGTCAATATATACAAAACGATTTATTATTTCGAAGTTGTTAATAAATTTTTATGTGAAATAAATCGCAAGCTCTTGCGTTATATTGTATCTATATAAATGTACAATGTCTGTACGATCGATTGTATAACCATTCCAAGCGAATGTCACGATGACATTTACAAATCTCTCAACTGACCACGCGATCTCAGCAAATTTTTTCTTTTTCCTGTAAAGGAGTGTCTGTTATTTTATATTTTAAAGACCAAATTAGCAATTCACTTACTTAACACAATGCTGTAAAAACATTGTGATAAATTATGTTAAAACAGGCCGAAGTATATCTAACATGCTAAAATACGAGCGCCGAGTATCAATAAACTAACTTGTAATGTCTAATAAATGCAAGCACTACTAACAACAAAATGGGTCGGTCAATGGGAAGATAAAAGATGTTTAAAAAAAAAATCAAAATAAAATTATTAAATTCGCGAAATATATAAAACTTTTCATATACAGATATATATTATAATATATAACACAGATATATATACTATACTATATACTATTATTATATACTATTATAATACGTGCGATTTAATGATTGTGTAAAAATCCATTTTAAAGAAATGAAACACAACGCGACGGTATAATTGAATTCAAAAAAAAAGAAAGCAATTTTATCGAAGCCTTTAGCGCGCGCAAAATGCGTACGCGAAAGGTATAATTATGCAGCTCTTGGCAAACCATTGTCAAGGCCCTAACTATCTTAGCTTTCCAATGCGCCGTAGACAGGCCTTCTCGTAACAATCGATAGGATCTAACAACAACAGCAGCCGCGCCAAATTGCGTACATCCGAGAACAGTTAATTAACATAATAATATGAGGCTGTATATTACGTTCTTACATCAGGGCGATAATTACCTGGTTGGCTGAGTGACTTTTCAGCTCTTATCGAACGCTCATAGAACTCTTTTCCTGATTTTCCCGCGTCTATCATTAATCGAATTCCTCTATCATTAATATACAAAGAAGGGAGACAGGAATAGTAGTTTGCGATTTATTAGTTGATGATGAATCTAATCGCTAAAAAAGTTAATTAGGGTCGCGCAGATGTTTTCCTTCCGGCGAATGCAATTAACAACATTCCCATTTCTTCCATCGCCGCCTCTCCCGTCTCCCACCTCCTCCGCCTCCGCCCATTGCGGATGCATTTTTCTCAGAGTAACAACAGTTTGCGCTGAATAACGATAGGACTTTAATGACTTTTGTCGCTTTGGAATTAGGAGGATCAGCCGGTGCCGTGGTGGCGTCTAGACTGAGCGACATACCCGAATGGAAAGTTTTGTTGCTAGAAGCCGGCCCGGACGAGCCACCGGGTGCCGACATTCCCAGTATGGTGGCAATGTTTCTGGGTAAGTTTCAATTGAACCTTTTCTATGTACAAAGCGCCATTCTGTTCCGTTATGTATACTTTCCGTTATCTATACAAATTCAGAGCTTGCTACGATAACGGGTATTTAAAATGCATCGAGATACATATCGCTTTAGTCTGGAAATCAGTTTCATCTTTTATCTCGTTAATCGATATCGGAAACGAATATTGGAAGAAATATTTTATATCTTTCATACCTTATACTTGATTAATTTGTAATCGATTTCTGTCGGGTTTCTTTATAATTATTTTAGTAACTGTCAAAATATTTTATTTAAGGTTGTTTAAAATATAATAATATTTTATACAATATTGCTTAAAATATAATAAGAATTAACGTCTTATGATCTGTTAAAATCTTTAAAAACTTACATTTAGAAAGATTTACATTTTGAATTCAACAATTATTTTAAATTCAACAATTATTATACTTTGCTTATATTTGTAAAATCGATTATTTAGCGAGTTAATATAAAAATGGTTACAAATCTGTGAGAATTAAAAATTGACACGATATCTAAAATTCGCAAATCTCTAAAATAAACACGCGCGAAAGGGGTCATTTTTATTTAAACATTTGAAGAAAATAAAATATTTTCGAGAGAGAGAAAGAGAGAGAAATAGGAAAGAGATGGAAATGATCGTAGTGCTCATCTGGAATCTATATTATTGCGAGAGCAGCTGCGATCTATATCCGTTACAGGCTTTACGCATGTTAAACGATCTGACAATTTTACCGATAGGAACTGACATTGACTGGCAGTATCAAACCACGAACGAGATGAACGCTTGTCTGTCAACTGGGGGATCCTGCAGTTGGCCGCGCGGTAAAAATCTCGGCGGAACGTCCGTCCACAACGGTATGATGTATAAGCGAGGTCACGCGAAAGATTTTGACAATTGGGAGGCCATGGGAAATCCAGGATGGGGTTGGCGCGACGTAAGATCCCACTTGCTTTGGAATATTTAAATAGAAATAATTATACATTAAACGTAAAGTTTTCGATCTATTCTTTAAATTTTCCAATTTATAATATCAATTACCTCTTTTTGTTATAATATCAAATCATGTAATATAAAAAAATATAAATTGCCATTTTGACGCTATCACTCGATTATAAAACTTTTAAACGAGACTATAATATCATATATGTCCCAGTTATGGTCTAATATTAATCTTGCAATTTTATAAAATGAGAAAAATCATTATTTAGAGAGAGAAAAACTTTCTCTCGAAAATCGATTATTAAGTTTACTCGAGTTTTTAATTTTGAGACGTTTTTCAAGAAACTGGAACACATTCGCCAATAAAGACACATAAATAGCGTATTATGTTTATTAGGTATTGCCTCATTTCATGTGCTCCGAAAACAACACGGAGATCAATCGAGTGGGTCGCAAATATCATTCGACCGGCGGTTTGTTAACCGTCGAACGGTTTCCATGGAAACCTGCAATCGTCGATGACATCCTCGCGGCGGCGGTCGAAAGAGGATATTCGATTAGCGAGGATCTGAACGGCGACCAAATTACAGGATTCTCTGTAGCACAAACCACAAGTAAAAATGGCGTTCGAGTGAGTAGCGCCGGAGCGTTTCTACGACCAGTTCGGGAACGACGTAATTTACAAATCGCTCTAAACGCCACCGCTACGAAGATTATCATCGAAAATCAAAAGGCTGTGGGAATTCAATTTTATCAAGTTAGTATATACATCTAGATCCATTTCAGTCTCGATAGCGATTTATATATCAAGACTTATGTAAAAATATCTGGGCATTTAATCTATTAATTTAGTCTATTACACAGGCCTGCGAAATTTTAGATTTGATTAGTTATAAAAAGCCGAGTAGATGAATTTAATAGATTTTTTGACGCCGAAAACGAACCTGGCTGCAGACTCTCTCCGGTAAACAATGATTAATAATGCACATCAGGTTTTTGAGTAATTAATGATTAAATAGTTCAAAAATGGCTATTTCAATCAATTTCTTAAATTTACAATGAGTATTTTCTAAGTTTATTATTAGTCTTTACCTAATGCTATACAATGCCATTGACAGAAATATCTCAAAAAATTAAGTCCCCTCATAATAAATTTATAAAATTGGCTGAAATAGCCATTTTCGGATTATTTAACTATAAATTATTTAAAAATTTGATGTGCTAGAAAAATTCTGCGATCAAATTCGTTTTCAAAAAAATTCATCGAATTCATCTACTGTGCTTTTTATAACTGACTCTCGCAGACCTGTATTATTATTTTAAAGGGCTAATAATATACCTTAATAAATCTTGGATATACGTGCCAGAAATATAAGAAACATCCGAAAATTATTACATTATTGCGATAATATCATTTTTGGAAAATTATTACATTATTGCGATAATATCATATTTGTCGAGTATCACGCGTATAAGGAATAAATTTTTGTGGATACTATTGGAAATTTTATTTGTCACGATATCGCGAATGGGAAGTCTTTATCCGATGAATCCGTGGAGAAACTCGCTGCAAGTTCTATTAATACGCTGAAAGCGCGTGAAAAACTTGCATTATGCACGAGTGGAAATGTTTCGAGGACTTTCTGTATTAAAAAATAATTCTCTGGAACAATCATGCGCACAAGTCACGCGACACAGAGTCACTTTCATGGACATCAAGAGTATAGTTTTTCTCCCGTTTCTATATAAATTTTTCAAAACAATGATTAATGATGCACGTAATAGAGTCACTTTCACGGATATCGGAAAGATTTTTCAAGCTTCATGTGCAAATCAAATTAATTTGCTATACTTGATTCTCATGTATTTTGCACGCTTAAATCTCCGAGAATATGTAATAAAAAAAGTCGAGCTACCGTTAGCGGCTAAATTTGATTTAGCACTTTTATCAGAGTATTGAATTTTGCAAAATATAAACAAGAATAGAGAGAAAGTCAACAATATAGCAATATTGCGTTCTTGCACATCGGAGAACTTTGCTTTTTGCCGGAACGGTTACCGGCACTCAGAGCGCGAAATCAAGTTCGCGCTCTGAAACATGGCGGTGAGTTTGGTGATGTGAGTTTCAATGAACGCATCTTCAGAATGGTGAACTTCGAGTTGCCCGTGCCACAAAGGAGGTAATCGCCTCCGGTGGTGCCGTAAATTCGCCTCAACTGTTGCTGCTCTCCGGAATCGGGCCGAAGGAACATCTACGGGCGGTGAACGTCACGGTTGTCAAGGATCTTCCAGGTAAGCGATCCATTCATTGCGCGTAGGTCATTCACAATGATGAGTCGATGTATCGAAGAGATAATAATCTTCCGATAAAGAATAAGAAATTTATGCGAAATATTAATTACGCATCTCTTGAAGAAGCTCGGTTTCCACTAGTTTCGAGTTTCTTAGAGAATCATATTTAAAGAATGGCTACGTTATAGTTTCTCTGAATGAATAAGTAGTGAAATTCTACGTTAAAACATGCGCCAATAAAACTTTTAAAGCATAAAACTTTTTCTATAAAGTGTAATTTATCGGAAGGAATAGTCGATCGACACTTCAGCGGATTATCAAGAGGAATTGCAACGAAATCGATGAATTAAATGGAGGCGAAATCTCTATTTTGTTCCAGGTGTCGGAGAGAATCTGCATAATCACGTGTCGCACACTTTATCATGGACTATCAATCAACCGAATCTGTATGACCTGAATTGGGCGGCTGCCACGGAATATATCGCCTTTCATAAAGGACCGATGGCGTCGACGGGTTTGTCACAATTGACGGGGATGCTGCCGTCGCTTTACACGACTCCGGATCATCCCGACATCCAACTGTTCTTCGGCGGTTATCAGGCAGCCTGCGCGACCACCGGTGAAGTCGGCGCCCTCATGAACGATAACGGTCGTAGCATCAGCATATCGCCAACGATGACACAACCGCGTAGCAAAGGTAAATTATAAATTAGTTGAAAATGTTCTCTGTCCAGGAATACTAATTAGAATATCGTAATTCTGATAAATTCGTTGTTGTAAAACTTTTAGAAATTGATTAATTAGCGTTCTCACTGTTTCTTTCCAACGAGTATCGATCTTCTTCAATGAATAATCTATGCGAACTACGAATTTCCTCCCTTCCTTCAGGCAATCTTCGTCTCGCGAGTAACGACCCCCTCGCGAAGCCGATCATTTGGGGAAATTATCTAAGCGATCCGATGGACATGGAGATTCTCATCCAAGGTATCGAGATTGCGTTGTCTCTCGCCAACAGCAGTGCCATGGCCAAGTATAACATGACTCTAAACATCAACCCATTACCGGCGTGTTCCGTATATACGCCCTTAAGCAAGGATTACTGGGCCTGCGTCGTGCGTCAGGATACCGGACCGGAGAATCATCAGGCGGGATCTTGCAAGATGGGACCGCCACACGATCCCATGGCCGTGGTCGATAATCGATTGAGAGTTTACGGCATCAGAAATCTCCGCGTGGCCGATGCATCCATTATGCCGCAGGTAAATATTTCTCGTAAATATTATCGATGCATCCTCGATTACGATTTATATGCTACTTCTCCAAAATTGATATTCTGACTTGCGTGCGAAAAAAAAAAATATGTCGAAATTGTTTTTAAAGGTAACGTCCAGCAATACGGCAGCACCGTCCATGATGATCGGCGAAAAGGCGGCCGCGTATATCAAGTCCGATTGGGGCGTTGGCGGTACACAATGGTACGGGAAAGCATCTCCTAGCCCGTTATGGAAAAACAGCCATTACAACCATTGGAAGAATCATTAGTCACCAGCAATTTCCCATGTTTCCATAGTTCTCGTACGACTATCGACAGTTCACTGGACCTATTACTTTGGGGCATCAAGTATATCGACTGGGATCAGGCTATATGGTGACCGGGAATCCACGATCTATCTAGTCTCTTATGAGCCATTTACCGCAGCACCTCGGCATGAGCGCGACCGAGGACCCTCCGTAAGATTCGAAATTACATCACAATGTACAATTATTGTTACTGATAGGGAAAGAGAGAGAGAAATGTGTACAACTGTAGACGGTATTGCCACCATGTGTTTTAATTTCCAATTAGTAATTTCCTAAGATTGTGAGTCTTAAACAGCGTTACGTTTCTCAAGAGGTCAATCAAATAGTCGTGGTAGAGGCGCACAAATCTCCGTACAATTTATAAATGTTACTATTACGATTAATTCCTTACAATTTTCCTATTATCTAATTATGCACTATGTTTAGAGATACGAAAAAGTGTATGATATACACGTTCGTATTATATTAATAATTCCTTTAGTTTAATATATATCCAAATTTTTTAGTACCTTTTACTAGCTTTATGACATATATAATATATACTATTTTTATATGTCTTCTATTTGAAATAATGACCAAAGACAAATTCATAGACCAATGAAGAATAGCAAATACAGTAGTTAATATTGTTAAATGAAAAATGTGCAGAATAAAGTGGATTATAAGTATGAACAGCTCGACCGCATAGAGTGCGCGAGTGTAAATCAAAATAATTGTAAATAAAAGAGATTTCATTAATGGCAGAAATCAAATATGAAATATAACACATCACATCCGTTTCCGATGATCCGCGTTTCCTAACAGCGCATATATAAATGTAATGTCTAAAATCTTGGAAACAAAAGCAGATATTTATATTTGTATAACAAGACGGAAGTTCTATCCGAAAACTGTTTGATAAGATAATACATTAATAAATTAATGTCCGCAAAATTTTTTACGTGCAATATATAGCCATCTCATCAGAAACTTTCAAAATGCAAATGGAGTTAAGGATAACGCAGTTCATATCAGCGTAGCTATCTATTTTATTCGCGCTATTTCACAGACCATTCATCAAATTCCCGCAACGATACCACGTGTAACGATTTGCACGTGTGACAAGCACGAGTTAACAAGCATCACTATTATCACTTTTTTTAAGTTAATGACTGTGCATTTTATGCATATGCATACGCGCCATTTATAAACGGGTAGCTATATAACAAAGCGGCATCGAAAAGAGCATCGCAATTGTAGAACGAAAGCCAAGTGAAACGGATCGTTCTACTTACGAGGTTCAGATAATCGCACTACAAAAATGGTATGTTCTTAATACATTGTTTCATATGAACAAAAAAAAGAAATATAAATAAATAAATAAATATTAGAAATATCAAAATGTGTAACACAAAATCAATATCGTTCCGGAAAATCTCGAGATAATATAATAAAATTGTATCAAAAAATATTTTCCTTTGTCACACACAACTGAAACTTCCTCCAATATTTCAAAATCAAAAAATTAAAATGGAGAATGTTTTTTTTTTAAATAAAAATATTAATATTAAGAAATTATAATTTATATTCTTAATCGTTTATCAAGAAAATCATTCATTTCTTTCAACATGTTTATCCCACGCATAATATAGCATTATATGCGATATTAAAACTGAAATTCTTAATCGCTGTAATTAATACTCGTATAAATTATGTATTATCCCGGTATTATAGTGTGCGAGTTCTACGAACTTAATACCCGATGCTGTAACACCGCAAGCACCATGTTCGTCACCCTTCGTAAGTGGACTTACATATATGAATGTTTGCAGCGGCGATTCTGCAACTTTATTTCTGAATATGTTGAGCGTGTTAACTACTTATAGCACGGTAATTAACGGTGTTTGTGAACGTATAAAACCTGTTACAAGACTAGATCACACTTATGACTTTATTGTCATTGGAGGTAAGATAATCAATATAATAATAATAATTATAATGTGCCTGTTTATCTTGCTATTAATCGAGACATTTTCGTTTCATTATTTCTACGTAAGATTATTAAAACGTAAGATTGTTAAAGTCTATCTTCAGATTGTATCACGATAATTGAAAATAAATGAGTTAAATTGATTTTTATTTATAAAAAAATTGAATATTGAATATTAATTCATTATTTTGATTTCTTTTTATCTTAGGTGGCGCAGGTGGATCGGTCGTAGCCTCTAGCTTGAGCGAGAACCCGAACTGGTCTGTACTCCTCGTGGAAGCCGGACCGGATGAACCAGCTGGCACACAAATACCAAGCAACCTTCAAGTCTTTCTCGGTAACGTACGCTTTGTACTTTTTTTAATCGGCAAAATGAGCACTCGCGCAGCTAATTTCGATCATATTCATGATTGCAGGCACGGAATTGGATTGGAAGTATCAAACCACAAACGAATCGCACGCGTGCTTGAGTACCAACGGTAGCTGTAGCTGGCCAAGGGGCAAGAATCTCGGCGGATGTACTTCTCATCACGGTATGGCGTATCATCGTGGTCATGAAAAGGATTACACCAGATGGGTTGAGATGGGAAATATAGGCTGGTCATGGCAAGATGTAAGTATCCAAGGAATTATTGTCAATAAACAGATCGTCAGTCGCGCAAAATATTATTATACTCTTTTGTCTATCAGGTATTGCCGTACTTCTTTAAACAGGAAGATAATAAGGAGATTGGAAGGGTCCGACGACAAGATCACGGTGTTGGAGGTCCGATGACAGTTGAAAGGTATGAATTATTTTGCAAATATGTTTCTCTATCTTATTTTATTTTCATAATATTCTGACTATATATGTGTGTGTGATCTACTTTATAATATATTAAAACAAATACATATTTAAAATTATAGAGATAAAAAGCATGTCGTGAGATAAATATATGATATCATTAAATTTATATATCGTGAGATAAATATATGATATCATTAAATTTATATATATGGTTCTTTTTTTAATATTTATTATTTAATTAATTATAAATGTCTATATATAAAATTTGTTATTAAATTTGTTATTAAATTTTATTTAAAATTTAGTATTATGAATGAAAAATATTTTAATGGCACATCTATTTGTATTCTATGTCATAATTAATGTATTCGAATCTGGCATTTATTAAATATAATTACGCACATTTAGAACTGTCACAGTGTCTGTGAAGCAAGCACGACAATCTACGAATTAAAAAAAAAATACTAAGAGCTCTGATAGCACTTTTCATAATTCTATAGTTCCTAATAAAAATTAAGAAGAGTTCCGCATTCCTTATATTAAAAAATCGAAATCGAAAAAATGTGCCAACTTCGCGAATCTAATACGACACCCTTCCTTTTAAAGTATTAAAACGCGTTGAATATCATTATTTTTAGCAAGAGTTCTATTAAAGTTCAGCCTATATATGCAATTTCAGATCGATATTTTAACAATTAATAATTTTTAATCAATTTTTTATGTCCTTAATCCGCACGACACTTAGTGAAAATGTGTCATGTGGATAATTTTTCGCAGTTCTAACAATAATTCTCGACAGTTCTATGAAAGCTCTAGCCTTTAGAAACATTTTTTCGCAAAGTTCCGATCGTTTACTATTTTTTAAACAATTTTCTACAATTACCTAGCACGACATGCTCCCTCTAACAATAAGTCTTGATATTTTTGTTCAAGTATATATATGTAATTTTAGATTTAAATATCGATATAATTATATATATATATATATATATATATATATATATATATATGAATTTGAATAGGAATATCGAAAACTGTTATAAAAATTAATAATTTTCAACGCGTTTTAATACTTTAGAAAGAGAGTGTGTTGGATAATTGTAAAAAATTGTTTTAAAAATAGTAAGCGATCGGAATTTTGCGTAAAAATGTATCAAAATGATTAAATATCGAGGACATTAAATATTGACTAAATTATTAATTTTTGAAATATCGATCTGAAATTGCATATATAGGACTTGCAGATATTGAACTTGAGCAAAACTATTGGGAACTCTTACTAAAAATAATGATATTCAACGCGTCTTAGTACTTTAGAGGTAAGAATATCGTTCTAGATTCGCGAAATTAGTACATTTTTTAATATGAGAAATGCGGAACTTTTTTTAATTTTTATCAGGAACTGTAGAACGCAAGTGCTATCAGAAGTGCTATCAGAACTGTTAGTATTTTTTGAAATTCATAGATTGTGCCAGTTTCACAGATACATTGTTACATACCTTTAAACATTATTCCCACAATTTCTCTGCCGCTTTAATTGACCTATAGATACGAATTAGACTCGCTGATCACTTTCGTTAATAGATTCCCCTGGCAGCCACAACTCGCTTGGGACATACTAACTGCAGCGGAAGAAGTAGGCCTTGGAGTCACCGAAGACTTGGTGGGCCCGAATATCACGGGATTCAACATCGCACAGACGATAAGCAGAAATGGTGTCAGACTCAGCACTCCCAGAGCTTTCTTGTGGCCGCACAGGAATCGTCGAAATTTCCACTTAAAGCTGAATGCGATCGCGACAAAACTCCTTACAAAACGACAAGGATCGAAATTGAAAGTTACCGGAGTCAAAATAATTATAGTGAGATTACTTTCTATTCCCGATTTATATTACACGCGCGATTGTATCTCCGTAAAACATATAATGACTTCCATATTTACAGAATGGTCAAGAACAACACGTAAATGTGAGAAAGGAAGTGATCCTTTCGGGCGGTACGATAAACTCGCCTCAGATTATGCTCCTGTCGGGCATGGGACCGAAGGAACACTTGAAATCTGTAAAGATTAAACCAGTTCTCGATCTACCGGGAGTAGGCGAAAATCTCCATAATCACCAGTCGTACGGTTTAGATTTCAATATCAATGAACCGCCAATAGAAGAGCTAAATATGAATTCTGCCGATCTATATCTACACAATCAAACGGGCCCGATGTCATCAACCGGTTTGGCTCAACTTACTGCACTTCTGGCATCCGAATACACCACCAAAGACGATCCGGACAATCAGATTTTCTTCGCTGGTTATCAAGCTACCTGTAATACAGGCGACAGGATTCCGGACTTGCTATCATACAACAATAAAGAAACTATTAGAATGACTTCAGTAAATGTACAGCCACGCAGCAGAGGTAAATGAATAGTTACATAATTTATACATACATAATAGCAAGAAATATTAGCGCAATATTTTTCTGATGAAATAAGTAGCAATATTTTTTTCTTCTGTGCTTTGGCAATTAAAAGTGATCAAATCTTTTTTTTCTTCTATAATTCTTTTTAAGGGGAATGAAAGTTCTGTTTATTGCAATTAAATGCAAATGATTTATAGGCCGACTCACACTTGCATCGAAAGATCCATTGGCCCATCCGATTATCTGGGCTAACGATCTGGCGGAGCCAATAGACAGAAAGATTATTTACAGCGGTATCCAGAAACTCTTAAAATTGGTAACGGCAAACGAATTAAGCAAATATCATTTGACGAGAATAAATTACGATGCCCCGGAATGTAACCATGTAGGCGAAAAGGGTAGTTATGAACATTGGGACTGTCTAATCCAATACGACACTCGGCCCGAAAATCACCAGGCCGGTACTTGTAAAATGGGACCCGCTTCGGATCCGATGGCAGTTGTTGATCCACGACTCAAAGTTCATGGCGTAACTAACTTGAGAGTAGCTGATGCGTCTATCATGCCACAGGTAAACAGCGTTTTTTTTCCGTCATTATTACAAAATTTTAATAAAAATGCTGCAAACGATTAATGTTTTTTAACTTATGTTTATTTCGAAAATAATCTAACATCATGGACAAATAATTTTTCCCAAATATTTTGAAATGCAACATACTTCTAATTGTTTAAAAATTATAACTAACATGTATTATTTCTTTCAATAGGTGGTTTCCGGTAATCCCGTTGCTACCATCAATATGATCGGCGGAAGAGCTGCTGATTTCATCAAATACGATTGGTCGTAAAAGAAACAGGAATAGAATCGATCTCTCTTCACCGGTGTCCGAACTTATCGAATTTTATAATATATGTATATATTATAAGATAATATATATGTGTGTTGGCTATACACACATAAAAAATATAACACATATTGCACATTTCATTTACAACTTGTGAGATATTTAATAAAGATATTATTCACTTAGTTGCTAAACAACTGTGTTTTTTTCATATGTCTTACTTAATGCGCGCGTTTACATATAAACTAATCTTTTCGATATCAGTTATACAGCGTAATAAAGATAAGATTAGTTTACGAATGGGAAGTTTTGATTTATCTTCATTGTGTGCAGTAAAGTTAAATTAACCGGTGGATGAGGTCTACGATAAGCCGATTTAAAGAGTGTCTCGTTAAATGATACGTTCTATTACATGTACGTTTCATTTAGAGTTAAACTCAATTTTATTCCATATTTTACTTCATCCTTACTTCAAACACGCGAATTTTGCGTTCATTCAAATAGTTTAAAAATACATCTGAAAAGTTTAAATCAACATCAGCTTTATTTGCTTACTATTCATAGACAAATAAAACCGTGGAAAATTATTATTTAATTTATCCATCGATTTGCAGACGAAATTAAAGTACTTTCTGCCCTACATACGGTTTTTTTTTGTGGCGTTTCGAACGAATACGTCAGCTACCTCAAAAGATCCACTTACGATATCTTACATCTCAATTATTAAGATGCAAAAGAAGGAATGCATCTTGGAAAAGGTCACGGAAGCAGAATGGAGCAGTACCGACTTACCTCCAGCGGGAGAGGGAAAGAGAGGGGGCCCGCAAGGAGTCACAGAAGCTGGAAGCCTGGAGAGCTAGCACTCGACCTCCTTAAACTCGCGTGCTTACACGAGAGCGATTTCGCGACTCCCCCGCTTGACCTCAGTAGCTATTCATCCATCTGAACTTTTCGAAGAAATCGAATGCACCAGTCTCGGCAGTGCATTCAACATAGAACACCCAACGAATGCTTCAGTCTATCAATAATCCACGTGATCCACGAAACGGATTATTGACGAATTCAAATATCGGCATTACATTCTGTTGAATTACCTCGTTGAATGCATTTAGTCTGGTTATGTTTTTAAATGAGATTTGAATAAATATGTATCTGAATGCAATAATATATTCTTATAAATATTAAAGCATTTTCTACACTATAAAAATAGGATATTACAGATATTTGAGAAATTCGATTACTTGTGGTACTTATTAAATTATAAAACATACTTGAAGTTCAAATAAGTCCATGCAAATCGGCGTAAATTTTCTGCTCCGATAATGCAAATTATTATTTCTATTCTTTGAATTGCTAAATTCATTATGCAAGTTGTTTACAATTTCTGCATTCTAGCTGACAGACAGAAATTGTAAGGAATGTCCTCGAATTCCATTTACGTCATGGCATTTTTAAGCAAGAGAGAATGTCTGAGCGTGTTATTTGAACGCTTCCGGCTGAATAGTACATTTCACATCTGATATGCCCCAGTTAACGTTTTATTGGCATTTCTTACGAAATTTTCCCCCTTCCCCTCCCGCCTCTCTCTCTCTCTCTCTATTAGATTTCTTTAAGCGTTTTGACACATGAATACGAATTTTCCTAGCAATTAATTCCCGTTAAATCGCTTGAAAATGTAATAACTAAACGTTGAGTGTTATTTTTTATTTTTAAATCGACCGGATTGCGAGACTCGTTACCATCGGTCAATGTAACGCACAATATATATTTCGCGAAGGATTAACTGAATGGTCTTCTCGAACGTTTTCCTGATTTCCAATCCATTCGAATGTCACCCGATTTTTTGATCCCGTAACATATATGCGTTCGATATTTTATCTGTTATTCATCGCGCTATTGAAAATATGCGAGAGGGAAAAACACTGAATTATTATCCCCGTTATTCGCGCTGCTTCATGACACTGTGTCGCGAATTTTGAGATACGCAACTCTTGTATCTCGCGTATAACGTTACATCGCGCTTTCTCGTGTCCAATGCACATTACGATTTCCGTCGTCCCGAAACGAAAAGCCTCGCTCGCAGAAGCTTTATTTCCCTCATCCGCATATTCCGATTGACTGTAACTTCCGCTCGTGGAAAAAATTTTCAGCAATGTAGATAGATATTGCGAAAAAAGAGAGAGAGAGAGAGAGAGAGGGAGATGTGTTTGACTATTCATGTTTTCGACGAATGTTCGAGAATCACTGACATACCCTGCGGGATCGTGTAGACACCGTTACATACACAAGTCGGCGGGTCCGAGCAGATGATGAGATAAACAAATTATAAATAAAACATCGAATATACTGCGCGCGCGGGGAGATACATGTCTATAGGCGACCACAGCGCACTATACATCGTCCGCGCCTCCCATCTCGTCCTCTTCGTCCTTCTCGCCGTCGCACTCGTCGTTGTCGTTGTGCCAGAAGCGTAACGACTGCTTTGAATTTCATGAGGGTGCGAATGAATTCATGGTGGGATGGCGCGGTTGGCCCCGGAGACTCGGCGATTTCAAACGTCTCCTGCGACCTCCCGCAGTTACGCGCTTTACAAAAGTCGAAGAAGCAATTCTCATAATACTAACTGCCGCTTATTTTACGCTGTATAATTCCTTAGTTCCGATGGGCAGTTTAACGGCCTCGTGAGTTTTGAGGGATCTACAATCTCCTAAATCTTCGGTTGCGTTCTACAAACACGTGAATTTTATAAAAATTTTTTATCCCAGAGTAGAATGTATTACCTTTCTTTAATAAATATTACTGAATATCAATTTATTTCCGATCGTAAAAAATTACAGACGAATCAATATGCAATTTATTAGGGATCTCTTAAATTTTCCATCGCGTTTTACAAACACGTGTGTTTTGTAAAAACTATATAACTCAAATAATAAAATATATTATCTTTCTGTGTTAATTTCTTTATAAATATCATAATTTCCGTTATTGAGTTATTTTTCGGAAGTAAATATTGAGTAGCAATATTTACTTCCGAAAAATTCGTGAGAAATTATAAACGAGTCGTCGTGCAACTTATTTAGGGAGACTTAGAAACATGACCCATTATATCGATATAAGCCTTCATGAATTATGTAATCCATTAAATTGCGAAATATCGAACTGATAAAGCAGATGCGGTCACGGGTATTTCCGAAAATTATGCCCCAATTCCTCCGGCCGAATCCGATTACGCCGGGTGAGCCCTTCGCGCCCGGTAATGAAATCTCCGTTGCCTCGTTAGGCAGTAACAGCGGTCGCTTTGACGCTAGAATTTATAATTTCTCGCTTCGTCGTTAATGTGACATTAGAGCAAAGTTATAAAATTACATACAAGGCCCAGCTCCGGGTGACTATCGACAAACAAATAAGTGCATTAACCTCGACGTTCGAAACTTTGTTCCAATTAGGGACATGTGAGAGCATTACTGTCTAATAAAGCCGCCCGTGTAAACATGACCGCTAGAAACGGAAGTTGTAAGGAAAAATAAGGATCATCGAGAAACTATATGAATTTCGGAATTTCGGGGACTACGAGTTTCCACGCACGTCGACATTTTCTCTGTTATTTTATCAAACGATTGTCAATCTTTATTTCTCTATTTTAAATTATATTATTTAAATTATATTGTCTATAATATATATTATATTTAAATTATATTATCTATAAAATCTATCATTTAAGAAATTAATAGAGAGAGAAAGAGAAAGAAAACAAACATTTTTAATAATAACTCTTAGCGCTCACTATTGTACGCTATTTATCATTCAAGCAAGTAGGTCGAGATAAAATTCTCGACAATATCCGCAAACTTCCGTCGTTACGAGGTCTCGGTCTCGAGATAAACGAGCGGAATCATTAATATTTGACCCCACGGATTACTCGACAAATCCACGGTGGTAGCTCACTGTCGCGACGAGGTGAGAAACGAAAAGGGAGACGATCGCGTCTCCTAAACCACGTAGGCTTAGAAATACGTAATTCAAGCCGTACCTCTCGGCTAAAATATTTTGCCGGTTGTCTCGTTATTTATCCTGCCAGGGAAAGTTGTTGTCGGTGTCGTCGGTAGTTGTCGTAATAAATGTCCTATCCTTGAGAGCGCGGGACTTGACTCGCGCGCAGAGGAACGTCGTTACACAAGTCGGCCCGACCATGCAGACTGGTTTTGCCCTACTTTTTGCGCGACATGCCAGCTACAACCACGTCGAGGACAATGTACAAAACGTCTAAGCGAGAAAATAAGATATGTCAACGAAAGAGGGCAGTATCTCTTTCTCTTTTTCCCTCTTTCCTTCTCGCGATTTCACCACTTTTCCAAAAATGATTGGATCGACGTATAAGTGCGTCTTTTCAAAAAAGGAAACGAAGATTGACGTGGATATTATAGTTTTGATAAATTGAAAAGGTATAAGATATAAAAATTAGATAGATTAAGCTTGTTCCTTCTGTTTTAAAATAGAAATTTAAATTTAACATAAAATTTCTAATTGAAATTGTATGTATACATATATATAGACTCGTTAATATTATCTAATTTCCTTGATCAAATATGCAACATTATATATATATATATCGATCGGCGATGTCGAATTGATTTGACTAAAAGAGGTATCTCGGGCGATGCTTTTCCGATCCAGACTTCGACTACGGAGAGAACGAGTAAGAAAGTGGATCTGAACATGGACGTGGTATACCGAGACGATCAATTAACACAATTAATTCAACGGCCACTCGTCTACGGAAGCGTGTTATTAAATTCGAAATAGTCGCGATTACATAACGTAATATAACGGCGCATACGGCGCGAAAATGGGTTCGTTATATTCAGGCCTCGTTATATTTCACGAGAGACGGAGACGTCGCTTGGTATAAGGTAGCCCAATTAGAGAGCAACGTTTAAATAAATTTCCATTGATAGCCACTCGCCCCTACAGCAGTTGTTATGTCCGCTTCGCGAATAAATTAGCAAAAATCGGCTCG